GGCACCGCAGGCGGTAGCTTTACCCACTGCACCACAATGCCCGCCCCAAAGGTAGAAAGTTCTAAAGTAACTTTGCCATGCTACTGAGAGAAAAAGGACGCTGACAAAAAGTGAAATGTAATAAGAAGTGGAACAAATAACTCTTCAGAGCACAGATTCCAAGAAGCTAATAAAAGCCTAACTTTGTGACTTGTCCAGCTTTAACCCGAGGCAGTCGCGGGGCTGTGGGGACTCGGCTCCATTTCAGTCCCTTCCCCCACGTGGCTGTCAGACCCTCCCTGAGGCACACGCAGGAGTCACGGGCCGTCTCCCTGCATTGCTGTTCTTCTGTCGCTTGTGCACTTTGTCAGCTTCCGGGTGGGGAGAAGCTGCAGCTGCAGACCCCTGCTGGCCTCTGGCGTCCCCCCCACCCAGCTGCTCACCGGGACCTCCTGCCGTGACTTCCAACACAGACCGACCACCCTGAAACCAAAGCCTCCGCCTTTCCTCCCAGTCTCATCCCAGCACAGCCCAGCGTTTCCCAGGGGGACCGGCCTAGAGCTGGCAGCGTATGGTTAAGCCCCCGTATCCTGCTCTGTCTTTGCCTGCAGAGTGTCTGGTCCCTTTCTGTCCCTGCCACCCAGCCCATGGCCTTCAACACTCACCCCCGAGCCCTGGGCCCCTCTGCTTCAATGCCCCTCACACCTCTCCCCTCTCAAAACTCTTTCTCAGCTGGCTGGTTCACCTGGACCGCAAATGTCTGCTGTGTGCCAAGCGTGGCCAAAGCCTGCTTCTGCTGCTCCGAAAGCAGCCTGCTGAAGTCACTGCGTTCTGACCCGAAACCCCCGCTCCCCTCTCCATGGGGATTTCTCCCTCCTTTCCAAAGCCACAGCTAATCCCAGCGCCGATCCTACTCTGCACAAAGCCTGCCCTGGCTACCTGTGTTACTATTAGTAACCCTTTGTTCTGGAATCCCTGTGCATACAAGCGAGGGCACTTCCCAAAGTTCATGGAAAATGGAATTGAAAGGTACATTTAGGGGCAGGCATTGTGACCCAGAAGGCCAAGCCACTACTTGAGATGCCCACATCTCCTATCAGAGTGCCGGTTCCAGGACCAGCCGCTCCACTTCCAATCCAGCTTCCTGCTAATGCACCTGGGAAAGCAATGGAAGATGGCCCAAGGGCTTGGGTCCTAGGTTTTTGTGGGAGACCTACATGGAGTTCCTCTCTCTCTCTCTCTCTCTCTCTCTGTTTCTCCCTGTGTGTGTGTGTGTGTGTGTGTGTGTATGTGACTTATAAAGTTTATGGAGTATAAAAAATTTCTGAAAGTCATGCATATGTTCAAAAAATTCATGGGAAATACTTGTTATAAAAATCTATGCATGAGTGTCGAAATTTTTTGCACCAAATTAAACTTAGCTTTTGATTCCATTTTTTCACAAGCTTTTTGACATGCCCTCATGTCTATTATGTAGCTTCCTTTTTAAAAAAAAAAAAGATTTATTTGAAAGGCAGAGTTACAGAGAGAAAGGAAGAGACAGACAGAGGGGAGACCTTCCATCCAACGTCACTAGGCAATGCCCTCCTCCTAGGGGACCAGTGTTGCACCTGCAGCCTGTCATGGGAACATTGCGGTGGTGTGTGACTGCCTCTAAAACGTGTGTGGCATTCTGTCGTAGACCACGTGCACCTCATAACATCAGGGAAGCCCGCCCTGAGCCCTCCCAGTCCCCGGTGAGCACCAGGCATTCCTTCACTCGGCCCTGTGTGCTCTTCCCGCTCCATGGCAGCCCCGTGGATCCTGGAGTCCCTCAGTGCCCGTTCGCGGTACTAACCGCTCCCAGCAGAGTGTCACTGTGCCCAGTATGGTTCACACCTGCTGATGTGGCCATGGGATGTGACTGCAAAGTGATACCGCCGTCTCGGTCTCCCTGGCCCACAGGGAACGTGTCCCAGCTTCCCCAGTGGGTACCTGGAACCGCAAACAGCACTGAATCCTGTCTGCACTGAGGCCGGGTTTTCCCTGCACCTGTGTATATCCCTGTGAAAGTGTTATTTGTAAATCGGCCACAGAGAGAGACCAACGGCATCAGAAACACCACTGCTAGCATTTCAGTGGCATCTCTCCTTCCTCTATGTGGGTGTGTGGCTGTGTGTACAACACCTGGTATCAGGCTTTTGTCGTTTATCATTATAGCCTATTTCATTAATGTTCTTAAAATCATATTTAATGGCCACTTTATATTTTAGAGGATCTGAAAGCACTGTGGCTTTTCATGCGTGCCTGGCCTTATTCTGTAAAGACTGTAAGGTAGTATATCAGTTAGGAATTGTCTGAGACAGAAACGCTAAGTGAACAACAGGGTTCCCCCCACCCCTCACATAGGAAGTCTGGAGGTAGCTGATGGGGTTAACTCTTCAGCTCCACAACGTCAAAGCAGATGGCTTAGGAATTTGTTGACCATTCTCTCATGCATACTGACTCACGTCTGCAAAGAGGCTGCACAGTGTCAGTCATCACATCTGGACTCAGGATAGAAAGAAGCAGGAAAGGACAGCACAAGCAGCATCTGCCCTTCTCTTAGAAGACCAAAGCTTCCCAGAAGTTCCCTAGCTGCCTTGCTCAGTTTGCTGGCATATAACAAAATACCAGAGACTGAGTAACTTACAAAAACAGAAGCTTGTTCAACTCAGGTTTCTATAGGCATGGAAGTCTGAGAGCATCTAGAGGGGAGGGTCCTCCTGCTGCATCGCCACTTGGTGGAGGACATGGCAAGACAGAGCCAGAGTGTCATCTCAGGTCTCCCGCTCTCCTTGTAACACCACTAACCACCTTACCTGACCCTAACTAACGCCCAATGGCCCTACCTCGATTCATGAATGAATTTGAGGATGGAGTTCCCGACAAGTGAACTCTGGACACACATCCAAACTGTGGCCCCAGCAGACTTGTTAGACCTCACTGGACCAAACTGCCCTTCATGTCACCTCCAGCCCCAGGGAGTGTGGGGGGAGCAGCAAGCATGTCCCTGCCCAGTCACAGCAGAGGCAGGCCAGGGGGAAGAGGTGACCATGGAGCTGGGCTGGCCAAACTGCCACGTCAGCTGTGGGGACAGCTGGCCCCACTGTGAGTGGTCAGCCATCAACCTTCAGTGGACATTCCTGTTACTTGTAACTTTACAGTAAACCATGTGCATCCATTCATCCAAACCTCGGATTGCTTCCTTAGTGTGATGTCCTGATGGAATTCAAAGTCAAAGGTAATGGTTCCATGTATACATCTTACACATGCTGCTGGCCTTCTTTCCGGAAATACCTCACCCACAAGTGCCTTACCTTGCAAAGTGTGTGTCCATTGTGGACACACTCCTGGTGGTCCCACCTCTGGGACTTGGCGAGCTGTGGCCATTGCCAGAGCACAGGCAAAGCCTCTGGGTGGCAACATGGCATCATTCCCATAGGTTACACTCGTCCAAGGCCGAATATTTGAGTATTTTGAGCTCCTGGTCCTAAAGGGTCTGGAGAGAGCCAGGCTAGCACAGAGGAGCCGAAAGAGGCTGCAGGCAGTGCCCGTGTCCCCGTCCAGTGACTTTACTAGCTGAATAAGTAATGTTTCTCAGCAGGTGCACAGTGGGCATTTCGGGGACATTCACTGTGGAGTCTCCCCTAGCATTGCAGAATATATTTTTTAAAGTATTTATTTATTTTAGAAGCAGAGCTACAAAGAGAAGCAGAGACAGAGAGAGAAGGGTCTTCCATCCTCTGGCTCACTGCCCAAATGGCCACAACAGCCGGAGCTGGGCCAGTCCAAAGCCAGGAGCCAGGAGTTCCTTCTGGGTCTCCCACCTGGGTGCTGGAGCCCAAGGACTTGGGCCATCCTCCACTGCTTTTCCAGGCCATAGCAGAGAGCTGGATCAGAAGAAGAGGATCTGGGACTTGAACTGGCACCTATATGGGATGCTGGCACCCACAGGTAGAGGCTTAGCCCATTATGCCACAGCGCCGGCCCCGGAATATTTTGCCTCCTTGGATCTCCAGGGAAATGCCAACAGTACAGTCCTTTTGTGACAAGTAGAGAATTCCCCTTGCTCTCTGTGCTGGGTGCAGCTGGCCTTGTGAGAGGTAGGAACCCTCCTGGCCCGTGGACCATGGAGCAGGGGGAGAGGCTGCAGCAGCCAGGTGGTCTCCAGACCACATGCCATGAACGTCCTGGGACAGCCAGGGGAGAGGTCACCTGTGGGAGGATGGAGGGAACCTCCTGGAACAGAGCGGTCCCAGGCCATGGCGAGGAGCAAGAGAGAGCCCAGGGCACTCGTTAGGCCTGAGTGGGCTGTCCTTAACGGTAATGCAGAGACAATGAGAGGTGGACAGGACAGACCCTGGATTGCGTGGCGAGTTTCAGGTTGGAAAAGCAGCATGGGCAAAGGCATAGAGGTAGCTTGAAGGATGGAAGCAGCTCCATGTGCCCAGTGCTGGGACCAACACTGATGGACCTTGCCTGCCGTGCGTGGGTTTTGTCCTGTGCGGTGTGTTAGCTCTCCAGCAGACTGCAGAGAGTGGAGGTGGTCTAAGGGCAGAGCTGCCATCGGGGACCTTGGTGATAGTCGGAGGGTGGAGGTGAGTGAAGAGTCAGAACTGATGGGAGTGGGCATCGTGGTGCCATGGGTTAAGCTGCTATGTGGGATCCCTGCATCTCACACTGGAGTGCCTGGGATCGACTCCCACATCCAGTTTCCTGCGAATGCACCAGAGAGGTGCAAGTACTCGAGTCTCTGCCCTCGTGTGGGAGACTCAGATGGAGTTCCTGGTTCCTGACTTTGGCCTGGTCCAGATCTGGCTATTTGTGCATTTAGGGAGAGAACTAGTGGTTGGAAGTGCTCCCTCTAATAAATATGAATAAATAAGCTTGGAGAAGCAGGAGGCAACCTAGAAGGGTTCCCTGACTTCCTTCACCGGGAGGAGTGGGTTGTTTCACGTACAGTCCTTACATTTCTAAAGTAAAATGTCTCACCTTCTAAGAACACGCGGAAGGATGCCAATCGCAGCATGGGACAAGGAGCCAGGTAAGATAAGTGAATAGTAAGCTTTCTCTACAGATCTCAAATGACCAGAGCGAAAGCTGCAGTTTTATTCTAAAAGAGGGTTAACATTTTATCTGCTTCTTTAGACTTTCTACCAAGTGTTGTTTTGTTTTATTTGCCTTGCAATTCATTCATAAAAAAGCAGTATTTAAAAAAAAATTTAAATTCACAATTGGTTCCACTGACGACCTGGCCATACTCTCACAGCTGAGACAGCTTTCCAGGCTGCAGAGAGTGGTGGTAACAATATCATAACACCTTCCAGTTCCTGTTCCCAGTGTCGGGCCTGCAGCCTGGGCCCTGCCCACACCAGGCGTCCTCTTTGAGCCCAGTGCCCTTGGGCACTCCAGCCCAGCTGGGCCCTAGCAGGGCAAAGCCCTGCAGCCTGTTCCTTTGCTGAACTGTGTAGGTTAACCAGTCTTAGCAGGCCCCAGTGTGCCTGGCTGGAGCCCTGGTCACCCAGGGCACCACCTTGGGCCCCCAGCACCTCTTCGATTCCACCATGCCCACATCCACCACCCATGCAGCTTTGTCCGGGTGTTCCATTTGGGCTTTTGTGAGGGCACCTGATAGGTGATGGGTGGGATTTTAGGTTGGATGTGAATTGACACTGAGTCCCACAGCGAGATGTATCCACTCTAGTCCCATCCTGCTGGTGACATGGAGAAGGTCCCGCTTTGATACTGGTGCAGTGAACCTGGTATTCACTGGTAGTTTCAGAGGCTAGGCGCTTCCCTCCTGTGTACCTTAAAGCGTCCCACTCAGAATGTACACCGTAAATGACAAGCACCGGAACCCTGTTGATTAGGGGCCAGTGACAAGCAGCCCGTCTGTGCGTGTTCAGTAGGGATGGAGTTTTCGTTTGTTTGTCTGTTTCCCACAGAACCCTTTTGGATCCGCGGTCCGCGGGATGGGAGGGCTGGTTGTGAGTGAACACTCACACGGCAAAGGTCCGTCTCAGCACCGTCCCCACCGCAGGCCGTCCCTTGCGTGTTAACCGCAGTGTGTTCCCTCGCAGGTTAGGAATCTGGAGCAATGGGCGACTGGAGCTTTCTGGGGAGACTACTCGAGAACGCGCAGGAGCACTCCACGGTCATTGGCAAGGTCTGGCTGACGGTGCTGTTCATCTTCCGCATCCTGGTGCTGGGCGCCGCGGCCGAGGAGGTGTGGGGCGATGAGCAGTCTGACTTCACCTGCAACACCCAGCAGCCCGGTTGCGAGAACGTGTGCTACGACCGTGCCTTCCCTATCTCGCACATCCGCTTCTGGGCGCTGCAGATTATCTTCGTGTCCACGCCCACCCTCATCTACCTGGGCCACGTGCTGCACATCGTGCGCATGGAAGAGAAGAAGAAAGAGAGGGAGGAGGAGCAGCTGAGAAGGGACAACCCGCACCACGACGCCGCTGAGCTCTGCGTGCCCGCCGGCCACCAGGAGCCCCTGGGCTCGCCGGGCACGCAGGACAAGCCCGCTGCCCCGGTGCGGGACGACCGCGGCAAGGTGCGCATCGCGGGCGCGCTGCTGCGGACCTACGTCTTCAACATCATCTTCAAGACGCTGTTCGAGGTGGGCTTCATCGCCGGCCAGTACTTCCTGTACGGCTTCAAGCTGCAGCCGCTCTACCGCTGCGACCGCTGGCCCTGCCCCAACACCGTGGACTGCTTCATCTCCCGGCCCACGGAGAAGACCATCTTCATCATCTTCATGCTGGCCGTGGCCTGCGCGTCCCTCGTACTCAACGTGATAGAGATCTACCACCTGGGCTGGAAGAAGCTGAAGCAGGGCGTGACCAACCACTTGGGCCCGGACCCCTGCGAGGTCAGGCTGGGCGCCGCCGAGCCCCCGCTAGCGCTCGCGGAGCGCCCCGGGCCGCCCTCCGTCGCCATCGGCTTCCCGCCCAGCTACGCGCATGCCGCCGCGCTCCCGCAAGGACCGGCGCGGGCCTCGCCGCCCGCCGCTGGCCTGAGCGCGGCGGCCGCGGCCGAGGAGCGCGGGAAGGGCCAGGCCCTGCCCACGACCGAGCAGAACTGGGCCCCCACCCCAGTGGCCGAGGGGCAGCCGTCGTCGAGGAAGGCATCGCCGGCCGCGTCCAGCGCGGCCGCCCCGAGCCCCGCGGGCAGCAGCGCCAGCAGCCAGCCGCCCCGTCCCGAAGCCGGGCCGGGGGGCTCGGCTCCCCTGCTGCTGGGGGACGCGAGCGGCAGCGGCTCGGAGGAGGTGCCCTTGGGGGCGACGCCGGAAGAGGAGGAGCCGGCCGTGACCACCGCGGCTGAGATGCACGCGCCGCCCTTGCTCGAGGCGGACGCGGGCAGGTGCAGCAAAGCCAGCGGCGGTCGGGCCAGACCGAGTGACTTGGCCATCTAGGGATGGTCTCTCCAAGACAGCTTTGTAACCACCTTTTTCTAGGCACCAAAGTACCAGTTCGAATCGGCAGGTAGACTGCCCGAAAGGTGAGAGCGCTCCGGCGTCCCCGGCGGACGGAGGCACCGGGCTCCCGGGTTTAGTGCTTTGCTGTTCTTGACGCTGTGAGTTCCCCTGGGGGTGACGCCGACGCCGGTGGCACGGAGCTCTGCGGCCCCTGTAGGTAGCTGGGGAAGGGGGTGGCAGCGTCGGCGGCCCCTCCAGCCCCGGGGGCCATCAGGTTCTCCATTCCTGAGCTCTCCGGAGCCTCTGCGCAGCCCCGGGGGGACGCAGACACACTTAGCTCTATCTCTGTTTGATACTTTTAACTTAGAGTTGAATTTCATTTGGGCTGTTGGCCAAACTGCACTAAAAAAAGATTGAGAGCGAGGCCGCGGAGTGTCATTTGAGTTTCTGAAATCGCATGTGAAGGCCAGGCTATCAGGCTGCAGGCTTCATGACAGGTGACAAAGAGCAGGCACCCTGCAGAGGCCGAGGCCGCGGAGGGTGCTGGGTAGGAGCCAGGTGGCCGGGCAGCACACTCGGGGTGGTTTTTAAGCGGCTGCGCGAGTTGACATGACAGTGTGTCCGGTATGCCTTAGGTATTTATTTTTTAAATATTTTGTGCTTTGATGTGAATGGTACAGGTGTGCCCATTTTCTCCCCCAGTTTTGGAAGAAATGAAAAAAAAAAAAAAAAGTCCAGAATACTTATTTATCCTAATACACATCAGCAACGAGTTCGGGCTTTTTTTTTTTTTTTTAGAAATTTTTCGATTTCATGAGCCAGCAAATTACTATGAGAAGGTACTACTATCTATGTTAAAAGCAGGGAGGGGGGATTTAAGTGCATTTCAAATACTTGAAGTTGTGAAGTTTTTGAATGAGAGATCCAAAGGTAGCTACTCTTGCCAGGAAAATTTATGCAGAGAAACCATGATGATCTACACTTTAACAACAACAACAAAGTGCAAAAGAAAATGCTTCAAGTTTCCTCGGCTTTCTTTGTGGGTAGCCTGTTTGCTTTCTAAAATGTAAATAAAAGTGTCTGGGTTTTACTCCTGTGTCAGACCGTGTGCTCATTGTGCGTCCTGTTTTCAGTCCACACAAGAGCCCCCCTGACAGGAAACTGTGGCTGTGTATGGGTGTGGCTAGAATGTCCCGTGGGGCATACACACGCCGCTCGCTAAGAAACAATGGTAAGGTTGGTCCTATTTCTACTCAACTTTTTCACCTCCGACTTCCACTGAGGGTTGTTCACCAGATTCAGCAAAAGGCCGTGAACTTTCCCATTTAATTCATGTCTTTCTGTGAATTAAGTTCGTGGTGACTCATCTGTGGCCACACTCAACAACATACTTCCTGTTTTATTTTTTTAACCATTAAGAATTTGATTAGAAAGAAAACACCAGTCTTCTGAACAATAATAAAATAAAACCTTTCTCTCTAGCAAGATATTCCACAAAAAGTGGGGAGAGCTATAAATCATTTCTATGGACTTGAGACAGTCATATGGTTAATATGGCCCATGTAGTTTATCATGTCTCAATTTTTGGAACATTGTAACCTTCACTGGTTTTGTCCTGCATAGTAAAATAGCTCATTCATCAATGTATATATTCTGTGCATAAGCTTATGCCATTCTTACCACAGGGCACTATTCTCTGGCTGGAATATAATTTTCTGGTAATTTTGTTTTCCCCAGGAACCTTTTATTTAAGGTCTTCAAAGTTCATGCATTTCATAGTGATAGTGATTCTTCCCACCGTACCCACCCTCCCTCCTGTTTTATGTCCTGAGGGATCGTCCACTAACACCCTGATGAAAAGAACGCCATTTCCAGTGCTCGGATTCGTGTGTGAGTGGATCTGGGTCCAGGGAAATACTTTGGTAGTGCCTTCTGCTTGCTGCGGGATGCCTCGGCCAGTCACCTAGGCTGGAACGCCACAAACATTCCACACATATCCCCGCAGTCGTTCTCAGCCAGGTTAAAGAGGAAGAGCATTGAGCTCCTGGGAACATTATTTGAGTGACTCTTCATGTGCAGTGGATGCTTTAGGCTCAGGGCAGCAGGACTTCGTTCCCCTGAGTGAGCCCCGGCATTAAAAATCCTAGCGTGAAAAGCATCCTGAAAAGCTTTGGTCATTTTAGAAAATGTTACGGCTGTCATCACGGAGCTCAGGTGCCTTGCATTTCAGAGTGGAAGTGAACACTTACCTGGTTCTTTACGTTCTACCATAACAAATATGAGCAAGAAGAAGCAGCCTCTTGTGTAGCCCTAATTGATTTTGGGAGGGGTAGAGGAAGAGTGAGAACTGAAATTCTATTTAGTTTTTGCCTTTTTTAAGTTGATTTTAGGAGTGAGCAGTCTAGACTAGTGGTTAAGCCACTACTTGGGATGCCTGAATCCCACATCAGTGCTTGGATTTAAGTCCTGGCTCTGCTCCGGACTCTCACTTCCTGCAAATGTGGATCCCTGTCACCCACATGGGGAGACTCGGATTGAGTTTCCAGCTCCCAGCTTCAGCCTGGCCCAGCCCCAGCTGTTGCAGGCTTGTTGGAGCTCTTTGCCTGTATCTGTCTCTGTCTTTCTCTGCCTCTTAATCAATAAATTTAAAAAATTGAATTTTATTCACAGTATGTTTATGCAAATACCAGTAGTATGCAATTGACCAGATTCTAGTTGGCTCCTATGATACACGGACAGGAGTGTAAAATGATATTCACTATTTGAAAACCAGCAATTAAAGACGTGAAATTTCATAGTAGGACAGTGCCACGATCTGATTTCAATCCAGGTCTGGTGGAGGTGTATCTTGCATCCTGCAGCTATGAGAGGTATCCATGATCCTGAAGGCGCGGTTGCTTCCCCTGCCAATGTGGAATGGCCCGCTATTGAACCAATCACTTTAAGCATTGAAATATGTAATAAAAATAGAAATTGCCTCTCCCTGTGGGCAAGAGTCCAGGCATACTTTTTCTAGTGTGTTAATTATTTGGAAATTTCACTGAAATTACTTTTCTCTTGATTTAAAACTTGTTTTAAAACTCAGCATCCCCCACATGGTTTTAATCTGCAGTGTGCAGTGCCGGCACTCCTTCCATCCCTGGTATGAGAAGTGCGACACCTGCCGGCCCCAGCACAGTCTACAACGGTGGTCAAAGCACAGCTGGAGTCTTCATGGACCCACAACCATTTCTAAAAATTCTAAAACATTTTGTATGTTAACACTCACTTTCTACTCCCTAAGATTTATTCTAAGGATTTTTTCCTTTAAAATTGACCAAAAATGGGAGGCTGGGACTGTGGCATAGCGAGTAAAGCCTCTGCCAGCGACATCGGCATTCCATATGAGCTCCCGTTCAAGTCCCGGCTGCTCCACTTCTGACCTAGTTCCCTGCTATGGCGTGGAAAAGCAATAGTTCTTTAATTTTTTTTTTATTTTTTTTTTATTTTTGACAGGCAGAGTAGACAGTGAGAGAGAGACAGAGAGACAGAAAGGTCTTCCTTTGCCGTTGGTTTACTCTCTAATGGCCGCCGCAGCCGGTGCACCACGCTGATCCAAAGGCAGGAACCAGGTGCTTCTCCTGGTCTCCCATGGGGTGCAGGGCCCAAGCACTTGGGCCATCCTCCACTGCACTCCTGGACCACAGCAGAGAGCTGGCCTGGAAGAGGGGCAACCGGGACAGAATCTGGCGCCCCGACCGGGACTAGAACCCGGTGTGCCGGCAGCGCAAGGCGGAGGATTAGCCTATTGAGCCGCTGCGCCGGCTTGGAAAAGCAATAGAAGATGGCCCAAGTGCTTGGGCCCCTGCACCCACATGGGAGACCAGGAAGAAGCTCCTGGCTCTTGCCTTCAGTCTGGCCAAGCCCTAGCTGTTGTGGCCATCTGGGGAGTGAACCAGCAGATGGAAGACATTCTCTCTCTCTCTCACTCTTTCTCATGTGTGTGTGTGTCTATCTCTCTCTTTATCTCTCTGTAACTGTGCCTTTCAAATAAATAAAAATAAATCTTAAAAGATGTGAGAAGGAAACTCTTAAGTTTAAAAAGGAGAGATAAAGGGCAAAACTGCATATTTCTGATAGAGCCCAGCTTTCTTTGATCTGGACAAGTAAGTGGAGAGGTCTTAGTATTCACATACGAAATACCTAAAACGAGATCTCTGAATATAATTTAAACTTCACTTTATGAAAAGCTAACCTTGGAGTGAGTATTTGTCCCAGTGCTTGAACTGCTTTGGTTCTGTCCCTGGCTCCAGCTCTGGACTCTAGCTTCCTGCTATGAGACCATGATAGGCAGCAGGTGGATTCAAGTACTTGGGTCCCTGTCATTCTTGTGGGAAGCAGATTGAGTTCCTGGCTCCCAGCTTCATCCTGGCCCAAGTAAATAAATTTGTAAAAATTAACCTAGCAGGAGGGACAGTGTTGTGGCACAGTGGGTTAAGCTGCCTCCTACAATGCCGGCATCCCATATGGGTGCTGGTTTGAGTCCTGTCTGCTCTGCTTCCAATCAAGCTCCCTGCTAATGCACCTGGGAAAGCAGCAGAAGGCCCAAGTCCTTGGACCCCTGCACCCACATGGAAAACCCGGATGAAGCTCCTGGCTCCTGGCTTCAACCTGACCCAGCCCTAGCCATTGCTACCATTTGGGGAGTGAACCAGCAGATGGAAGATCTCTCTCTCTCCCTCTCTTGCACTCACTCTCGCTGTCGTTCACACTCTCACTCTTTGTGTCTCTCCCTATCTGTCTGTAACTCTGATTTTCAAATAAATAAATAAATCTTTTTTAAAAAATTCTTCCAAGGCTGCTTCTAGAAGGTATTCTGTTTGCCCACAGTCCTGCCAAGCCGCAGAGCCCTGCAGAGCCAGAGATCTCCTTCCCTGATGGCTCCAGGGAAGGCTATTTTGCACATACATTTTTTTGCACAGTGCTCTGAGCAGTACCTAGAATGCACTCATTTCCGGTTTTGATCAGACACTTGAAACTGTCCTTGCTTTATAAACCCATATAGGACATAATTTTCAGGGACACAGTAAAGCAAAAACAAAGCAGCCAGAGGCTTTGAAGGCTTCCAGAAAGCACAACTTTCAAAATTCAGCCCCCAGGACGAGGGTTTGGCACAGTGACTAAAACACAGTTCGGAACACCCGCATCTCACATTCGAGTGCCTGGGCTCAAGCCCTAGCTCTGCTCCAGGTTCCTAACTCTGCTACCTGGGAGGCAGCAGGTAATGGCTCAAGTACTTGGGTTCTGCTATCCACCCACAAAGGTGACCCAGATAGAGTTCTGAGCTCTCAGCATGGGCCTGGCCTCACCCTAGCCATAGTGGGTACTTGGAAAGTGAACTAGCAGATGGACAATCTCTTATCTCTCCTCAAATAAATAAAAATTAAAAACAGCTCCATCAAACACAATAAGTGAGACTTTGCCTTATTCCAGACCATTAACTATACAGCATCTGGATGCCCCAACACTCCTAGACAAGGTGTATGTACCCCAAGCATCCCCCAGAGAGCCATCATGGGCACATAAATCTGAGAAATCCCCAAGGAAAAGAGGGCGAGGGGAGGGAGGAGGCCCCTCATGTGGTGGCTTCGGGCGGGGCCTTGCAGAGGGGACAAGGTGAACAGAAAGGTACAGTGCAGTCCATGGGCCCAGTGACCCCTGCCGGAGCCGAAACACCAGACCAGCAGCCTCAAGTGCACCTGCAGGTCATCATGGTACCCTGTCACTCACATAGTCCTTTCCATGAGAAGACAGGGCCCAGTGCCAATCCCGAAGGACAGGCAGTTCCATGCCAGCATTCAGGCATGGTCTCTGGGGTCCCAGAGGCGGCACCACATTCTCCACCCCTCCTCTTCAGCTGTGTGACTTTGGGAAAGTTACTGAACTTCCTTGACATCATAGAGGAGTTTTCCTACCTGAACAATGGAGTCAAGGTTGCCAGGAGCAACTGAGAATACTTTGCATAGTGCCTGACCATGGTGCCACTTAACAAACCCAAACCTTTGTGTACACAAAATAAAAAGAATCTGCAGGCCGGCGCCGCGGCTCACT